TATATATATATATATATATATATGTATGAATTTCAAACGAAGCGAATAAAAAACAATGTGCGCGATATAGACAAAAGTTTCAGTAGGAGAGAGAAGAGGGAAGAAACAAAAAGAGACAGCAAACAAAAACAGCACAAAACAAAACCCAAAAGATAAAGTATAAAAACAGTATAAAGATAAAGAGAGATTGAATAAGATGAAAAGAAAGGGAGAAGCTGTCAGAGGCGGCAGATGCAGCTACAAAGGAGACAGATAAGAGAAAACAAAAGAACGAAAAAAACAAACAGACAGAAGATACATCGGAGAGACAGCAACAAAGGCAAAAGGAAATAAAGGAGGCATACACAGAAAAAAGATATTCACAAACACTGCTGCAGACACGACCAAAGGAGACAGATAAAAACAAGAAAACAAAGGAGACAAAAGAAAACAAAGGAGACGGAAGGTAAACAGACAAAGAAGCAACAGACAGCCAAAGAAACAAGAAATAGAAAAAGAAATACAGCGTAGCAATCACCCGCTGCTTTCGTTTGTCTCTGCTGCATTATCTGAAACCTCCTCCCTCAACTTTAACAACTCTAAAAGAAACACAAAAAAGACAATCAATTGGAATTCAATTAACTATAACTTCTTTTCATTGTAAATACAAACAAAAACAACAAAACCTACGCCGAATCCAAACCCTTATATGGCTTCCCGTGACAGCCTTAAGGCAGGCGACAAGCAGCAGCAACAGCAACAGCAGCAACAACAGAAGCAGGAGCAGCAGCAGTAACAGCAGCAACAACAGGAGCAGCAGCAGCAACAGCAGCAATAGAAGCAGCAGCAATATCAGCAGCAGCAGAGAGTTGAGAGAAGACAACAAAGGGAGAAGAAAACAGAGATACAGAAATAGACAAAACACAAAGCAACAGGGGTATGGAGGTCTTTCTAGCGGACGCATGTACTTAACCCTAAACCCTAAACCCTAAACCCTAAACCCTAAATAAAGGAAAACAACAATAAAAGACAAAAAACAACGAACAAAACAGGAAAACAATCATCTATTAAATTTGCAATACCTGGCATCTGCTTCGCCGCCGCAAACTCCGAATCTTCCGAAAACTTCTCACCCGCCAGAAAGCCTAAAAAGACAAAAACCTAAACCCTAAACCCTAAACCCTAGACCCTTTACAACTCAATGAACCTTGAACTGGAAGCTGCAAGCCCTTACTTAGCATCTATCACGGTGGGGAAAAACACACATTTTAAAACGCTAAAGACCCAACTAAACCCTAAACCCTAAACCCTAAACCCTAAATAGCTTTCTCTCACCCTTTATGATTTGGAGTGCCGGGTTGCAGATTTTTTTCTCCCAGTCGGCGACTGCCGCTGAGTTAGACAGACAGCAGAAGAGTGTTTTCTGTTTCTCTGTGTCTTGATAGGTATATATACATATATATATATATATATATATATAT